CACATCTGAGTATTTTGTCGCAATAAGCAAAACGCCTGGAAAAAGTACATGAGCTTCTTTTTGGCAGATTACAGCTTGTTTTGTCCCCATAGATCCAAAAGGGAACGATTGGAAACGCATGATGCAATTGGTTTTGCGCATTTTTCCCATTTACATAGACGTGTCACAATCTGCTCAGAAAAATGCGTGACTTACTGCACGCACTAAAATGTGCCACGAAAACGCTGTCGCCTAGGTGTGAATCAGTGCTTACTCAAAAGAAGATACACTTACCTGATTCTCGATCCTGCCCGGCTGATGGACCAGTCTACGCAGCCTCTTCTCCCCTGTGCTCTGGTGGTCTAAGCCTCGCTGACATCATCACATCTAATGCAGGTCCATCCATGTGCATTAGACGTGAGGACACCTAGGGAAAACAGAGGGGGAGAGAAGTGAGCACTGACTGCTGCAGCACTGAGGATCAGATGAGTATATCTTCTGTATTCTGGCCCCTAGACCAAAACAATCCATTAACCCTTGCAGTTCAGGGGTGGCTCCACTGCAGGGGTACATAGCTGGAGTTCTTCTTTAACAAAAAGTTATTTATTTTCTATGTGCGCCTTCCTTCCAGCTTATGCTGCTGGCGATTGTTTCTAGAGATGTTTTGTAGCATCTGTTAAATGTTTTGTTTTGTTTTTTCCTCAGGGCTGCCTAAGTTATTAAATCTCAGGAAGCTGAATTTATCGTATAATCGCATATATGACCTTAGAGGTAAGTGGATTTGCAACCTCTGTTTCCTCAATTTTATTTTTTGTTAGGTTGTGAATTGCCCGCGAAGAGCTTTTATTAATGACCAGACATTTAAGACGAGACATCTTAATGCAGTAGAACGCTTCATCATCTCTGTTTGTGTAATGGGTTGTGACAGTAACATCTTTATGATAATATCACATCTCACACGTTACAGAAATGATTTGTATTTTCAAGCCTTTTAACATATTAGTGTGTGAATGTATTAGTTATTCAATCCAGGCACAAGTCAAAAACAAGGTGTAGGTGCATAAATCTATTTTCTCTCTCGTGCTTTTGCAACATATGAGGGCATTTAGGGTAAAGCCCTCCAATTTATTCCTGAGGACCGTCTTGATTGTTCTCATGAATTTCCACTAGTAAGTTTTGTTTCCCCTTCTTGTTCTTTGTTCTCTAACATGCTCAACGAAGCTTGCAATGTTATCTTAAAAATGAATGTCCCCACACAGACGATTGATGAACTTTGCTGAGCTCTGTGGGCATCTAAACTCTTCACATAATATAGCTGTTGGGCAATTTCCGAGAACCAACAGCACTTACTATGACAAAGTCACCTACTATTTATGGGGTCATGCCTGTTGAATTTAAAACATTAGGACCTAGGTGCAAGGAGAACACACAAAAGAAGCACCTCTCCTCCACGGCTCAGGAAAGGATTGAGCTGGGTGCTTGCCACTGGGAGAACGTCCTCGCCCCATTATGAGCCCATGCAAACTGAAGAAGAGCTGGCCGCACACCGGAATCCACTGAAATAGTTTATTGAAGTTTGTACCAGATGCCTGGTGTCCCACCCAAGGTCCACACCCTCTAACGTGTTTCACCCAATCACTTGCTTAGTCATAGAGATCTCTACGACTAAGTCAGTGATTGAGAGAAAGGCGTTACAGGGGTGGACCTTGTGTTGGACACCAGTGATGTGGTACAAGCTTCAATATACTACCTCAGCGTTATCCGGTGTGCTGTTTCTTCTGTTTGTGTTAGGACCTAGGTGTTGACCACTTTCACATTTATATTGTTTGTATTGTATAATGCTTGAGAAAAAGACATAAATAAGGAGATCAGTAGTCATCAGGATTGCCTGTGGTCTCCCTACAGCTGATCTTTTCCCAATGACTTGTTCTGCGCTGTGTCTCTCTGTGTGGGCTAGCAGAATATATACAGGGTTATTCACAAAAGGGTGAAGCGTGTGGAGAAGGCAGGAGAAGTCAATGATCTAGCACAACATAGCGGAACATGGAAAGTGAGCTGAATTGGAGAATTTTTACAAATCGGCTATGTTGTCCTAGATTGTTCCCTTCTCCGGGCCCTCTCCACACTCTTCACCTTTTAGTGAATAACCCTGATAGAGAAACCGGCACTCCAAATAATGAAGCAAATACGTCTGTTTATTGACGTACGACCACCAAACCATGATGCACTCAATGCAACGTTTCGGCGTCTCACAGGATCCCCTTCATCAGGCAGAACAAGTGATGAAGGGTATCCTGTGAGACCCTGAAACGTCACATTGAGTGCATCATGTTATACTTGTCGTACGTCAATAAACAGATGTATTTGATTCACTATTTGGAGTGCCGGTGTCTCCATATATTCTACTAGCTAAATATCACGGTGGCCAGCCATCGACAGCAAGAGCACCCACCTTTTATTACTTTGGAACGGCGGTTTCGAGTGTGATGGGTTCATGGACTTTTCTCTATGGGGGCTGATACCTCAGTAGAGGAAGGGTTTTGCTTCCTAATGCCACAAGCCTCCAGCAAGAAGAACAGTGAGCAGCACAGTAATGACATCACCAAATCTGAGACAAGTGGTCAGAGGCAGTAGTGCCTGAGATCTCACACTGGGGCTGTAGACACAATCACATATCAGGAAATGCTCTGCTATATTTCAGAAGGAATTAAAGACAAGAGGTATATTTTTTTATCACATGTGGGCCTTACCTAGCCATGATCTGCCTGCATTGCATAAAGAAGCACCGAGATCCAGTGATGAGGTCACTAAAAATGGAAAGGTTTCATGTAATTTTTTTAGCATGTTGATGAGGGGGGAGGGAAGAACCAGAGAAGGCAAAATATAAGCGGATTACATTTAAGCTTTAACAGTCTCTTTGTGTACTGGGTCTTTGATGTCAGTCTTTGGTGAAATGGTACAATTTGCTTTTCCCGGATGGGTCCGGTCTTTTCAAGAAATCATGAAATGGAGTCACATAGATAAAACTTGTACAAAGAAGGTAGACAAATACAGAAATGTCTATAATAAAATGGTGCAAAAGGACACCGGCGACAATAACCAATGCTAATTGTGAATCATCATTACTGAAACAACTAGACTTCATTACTAAAATCTGATTTATTTATTTTTGGAAGGCGTACATTACAATCGTGCTTTTTTCTGTTTATTTCACAATTACAGGAATGGAACAGTCCTACTTGCACCCAAGTTATATCATCATCTCCATAATACAATTCAGCTATTGCTGAATATATATCCCATCTACATAGTCACTTTGCATGTCATGTGTATTCAGTGTCTTGTCCTGTTTTCCAGGATTAATTCTGCTACACGGATGGAATCACAAACTTAGCCACCTTTATCTCCATGGCAACTGCATTGATAGCATGGACCATGTGCTACAGAGCATGGTGGGATTACAGTCTTTATCTCACCTGACATTTCAGCAGGACGGCAAAGGCAACCCTCTTTGTTTTGCACCAGGTAGCCAGTACAATCATTTTTCTTTTGTAAACGATATTGTTACAAGAAAACTATGTTACACTATAACAGACAAAGGACCCATTCCTTGATGGTGGACGATGAGCTGCATAAGATGACCACAGCCGCAAGGCAGCTTCTCGCTTTATATTTGTAGGATGGATTAGATATTGAAAACTGAGGCTAATTGGTTGTTTGGGCAATATAGACAGTTTTGTCTTCCAGACACTTTGTCATGTTGCTCATTTTGCATACTTAGTTGGAAGGCTTGTTATCTGTTTCTTTTTTGGTTATGAAGCAGAAGAATCAAGTTACTCAAGCCACCTCTACAGCACACAATGAAATTGTAAATGAAACTCAGTACTTGAATAAACTGGTGTTCCGGCTTAGTAAAGGTACAGTATATACAGTTCTTACACCTGCCTGTGATGTATCGTGGTGGGAAGTGCCATTGAGGTAAGAAGGTGGGCATTGTGACAAATGTTGTCACTTTTTAGAAGTGTAGGTAGATGCAACTGCACCCCCATTGTTTCACTGCAAAGGTAAATCTAAATTAGGTCCTATGTGTGGCACTATATTAAAGGAGTTCTAAAGTCACAGCATATGCTACCCTGTTATATCATCAGCCTTGTAATGGGATTACATACTACAGTTTTTTGTTTGTTTTTTTGTAATGCAGGCAAAGCTTTTATGTAGTGAGTGCTGCTTTCTGTCCATCACTTTCAACAACTTCCTGGATTTACAGTGCGCTTTGCCTTTCTTTCCCTGCTGCTTGGTGTGATGCAACCTAATTTTCTCAAGACTGCATAACCCATAACGCATTGCTTCCAGCAAGCAATGATAATGTTACATTGTTTAGACACTCGGTTGTAGATCCTCAAATCATCTCTGAATTGGTGCTGACGCAGTCCTTCCTTCTGGAAGGTGGCTATTTTTGTTCCCCATGGTCCCTGTGTGTGATGTAAAGTAGCCACCGCTCCAAGGTCACTCCCGTGATGGACTACAATCTCACTTTTAGTTAGCTAACTTGTATTGAGATTGTATTCCATCATGGGATGAGCTTGGAGCGGTAGCTACTTTTACAACACACATGGAGAACAAAAGTAGCTACCCTCCAGAAGGAAGGACAGTGTGCGCACCAATTCAGAGATGATTTGAGGATCTACACCCGAGTGATACACAAATAAGATACATTTTTGTTAATAGTTTGAATGCATTTTTAGAATGTAACTCCTGAGTTTAGTGTCACTATAAGGAAGAAGCTTGAATTGCAAAAGTTCCTTTCAATGACCATTGTATTCCAGATGCTTTTAAATCCATTTCCTGCACTGTTGTCATTCTACGTAATTTAGAGATAGTGTTAGATTGTCCAACCTCTCATTGCAGAAACTATAATTTTGTCTTTAGGATACAGAGATGTGGTTCTGGGAAACCTGCTACAGTTAAAAGCCCTGGATGGTGTTAGTAGGTCAGGGGAGGCTGTTCCTGGGTTTGATGTAGATTCGTTAGACGTCCCCAATCTGGACTTCCTGGAATATTTGACCACCTGTGATGATGATGATTATGATCCTGGCAGCAAGGTACTGCTATTGCCATTTCTGATTTGCAACTTTTGAGAATGTTGTTTATTTTAATAAACTGTCTGCCTTTAGGCGATCCCAAAACTTACCTCTTCAGGGAGGTGATAGTAAGCATCAAAAATGGTTGCTCGCTGCAATGTGTCAGTTTTCTTTTATACTGGTTGTCAGATATGATGTTTGCAATCTTTGTTGGCAATACCGACTCAAACAGACAAAGAACATTGGTGCTGTATGTATGAATTGAAAGCAGAATGAAAAGCCTGTTGAAGGTAGCAGCAACAAACGAAAACTATGGGGTAAACTTTTTTCCCCATAGTTAGTCAGGTTGAAAAAAAGACACAAGTCCATCGAGTTCAACCTATAGAGACACATAAAAAAAAAGAAGAAAATCTTAAAACAGAATGCAATGCCCACAATTACCCACTGTTGATCCAGAGGAAGGCAAAAAAAAAGAAAAACCCCTATAAAGCACGGTTCAATTTGCTTCAACAAGGGAACAAAAAATCCTTCCTGACCCCATGAAGCAATCAGATATTCCCTGGATCAACAATCTCTGATGCCTAATATACCTATAAGAACTCAATATCCAGTAATATTCTGTGCATTTAGGAATACATCCAGATTTTTTTTTAAAAACAATTAACTGAGCTCGCTAGAACTAGAACCTGGGGGAGTCTATTCCACATTTTTACAACTCTAACTGTGAAGAATCATTTCCATATGCAAAAGTTAAACCTCTTTTCCTCCCGACGCAAAGAGTGCCCCCTTGTCCTTTGCAATGACCTTAAAGTGAATATTTTGGCACCAAGCTCACTATATGGACCCCCCTTAATCGCCTCTTCTCCAGAGAGAACAAGTTCAGGTCAGTGAATCTTATAGCTGAACTCCTCCATGCCTCTTATCAGTTTAGTCGCCCTTGCTGCATTTCCTCCAGTTCCACAACATCGTTTTTGTGAACTGGTGCCCAAAACTAAAGTGCATATTCCAGATGAGGTCTTACTAATGCTTTGTACAGGGGCAGGATTATGTCTCTATCTGTGGAGTCTAGACCGCGTATAATAATACAAGAAATTATTTTGCATGCTTTAGAAACTGTGTTATACATAGCCTCTGCAGCGAGCAGAGCTGTGGGAGGGACTCAGCAGGCCCTCCCCACTAAAGAGAATCTATAGTATGTTCAGGACTAAAAATACCATATTAATGTTTGATTGCTGTATGTTTTGACCACTGCACATTTAATTTATCACTAGGACTCCACAAGTGGTCCTGTCATAACACCTCGAATTGATCAGGTTTTATCGCAGTATCGAAAAAGGCCTGTTGCCCCAGGTCCAGGGTACTTAAGTAGTTGTATAGATGCTACAACTTCATCAGAGCAAGAGTCCACCAGCATGCTGCGTGAAATGAGGATTAAGAATTTGGAGGAGCAGTTATCGGAGCTCCTAAAGGTTTGTCTTTGACTTCTTACCTTGGTCAGGACTTGTCTCCTAATGTTTTATGGGGCAGTTTTTAATGTATTATTTCTTCACAGGCTCCACAACCCAAGCCAGAAACTATTCCAAAACCCAAGCGAGACACGGACCTCACAACTGAAAGTGATTTTGAAAGTGAAAAGGAAAATGTAAAGACCTCTGTAACTAAAAGGAGCAAAATTCCAGCTCGTAGGAACATCCAGACACAAAAACAAAAGAGTCATCAGCAATTAAAGACCCGAAGTGTAACTAGGTATCCCAGTGACTGATCTATTATTCTTATTTTCTGACTGCAGTACACCTCATGAAAAATATCACCTAACATGTTAATGAAACTTGCAGCAGAGAACTAGGAATGCCCCACTGTAGGTTATATGCCCGACACCTCTAGAAGCCCCCACTATATACCTGGAGCAGTTTGCTCTACTTCCTCCTAGTGACAGGGTTTATTTAAAAGAGAACTATGAGGTGAGTGAAAATCGGTCATCCTCATAGTTCGAGCCGACGTGTGACAATGAAACTGTTACAGGTCGGCTCAATCAACCTAGTGTCGCTCGCTTACTTCTCCATCATCTCCCTGCAGAGAGTGGTGACCATCAGTCACGGGCGGGTTACCCCCACACTGCAAGGGGTTAAGTGATTGTTTTCATCTAGGGTCTAAAACAGGCATGGACGAGCTCCGGCCCACTAGCTTATGCAAGGTTCTCACAGCCACACACATGGCTCCCAGAGACAGATGCATGATGGGATTTGTAGTTGGACCACAGCTGCACGGCCTGGTCTAAAATAAAGAAATACCCGAATCTCCAGCCTGGCTGCTAGAGCGGTCCATGCAGCCTCTCTCCCACTGGAATGTTGCTCGGCAACCTCACATCCAGTACGCTGTATTTTAAACCCAAGACGAAAATGAGCTACACACACTGCAGGGGTTACATTTTCTTCTGCCCGGAGTTCTTCTTTAAAAAAAACATACACTTATATTTTGAGTGATTAACTTTTACATTCGGCAATCTGATTGTAAACTTTCAAAAACCTTTTTATTGTTCACGGTGTCTCAGCCTCTTATACAAATGATCTGCTTGAAGTAAACACATGGGAAATCCCTTCTGTGTTGGAGCAGTGTTTAGCTGTGGGGGTCCTTCCACCGGTTCTTAGACATAATCATATGGTGTTCAGTCAATTTCTATTCAATGCCCTTGCTGTGATTGTGTGAGATAAATCCCCCTTTCCATTCAGTAGAGCTGCAGGATCCATAGGCTATGATAAGTATAGTGATTGGCTGCTGTCATCTTACATTTTACAGTGTATCTAAGCAGAGTGCAGCCAGGAAGCAGAAGAGTCCCAGTCCTCACAGGAAAGCGCAGAGTCCCAGCAGTGGATCGTCGGAAAGGACAAATACAGACGGTACGGGACAGGTCTCCGCACGACTTGCTGGGCCTTTGAGATCTCTGCAAAGACGGCTAGAACCGTCAATGTCCAATGCAGCGGAGGAATCTACATACAGGGTATGGAGTTAGAAGCTATTTTGAACGATAAGGAAACCGCAAGCAAAATATGTGTATTCAAATATGTTGTTAGGAATTGTACAGTGAAAATCTATACTGCCACTTTATACCAGAATTCAATCAAGTTCAGGGGAGACTGCTGGAAGATATCAATGTATACAGCAGGTATTATTATTTTCCTGTATTCTTTATTGCGCAATGCACCGTAGGCACTTACACAGGTTACAGGAAGATGAAAAAGAACTCTAGTATAACAATATAGACATTTTATTTAAAGGAAGAACTCCTTTTAAAAATGTTATTAACCCTTACAGTGGGGCTACCGCTGCGCTGCAAGGGTTAGTTGCACATTTTTGCCTAGGGTCAAAAAAGATACATTAGCCCGAATCTCTGAGCCGGACAGCCGGCTCTTAGATTGGTCTTTGGAGCATCTGAAACCCCCAATGTGTCCCTACACCACATTCAACATGTAAAACAAATGGCAAACGCACTCATCAATTCATAACCAGCGTTTAAACTAAGGAGTGCATGGAAGGGCTTTTCACAGTACAAAACAGCACGTTTACCAGCCTGCAAACCAATTACGCTAACTATTGGGGTTAAACAGAGGTTTTAGTTGCACAGCTTTTGCAAAATATGTAGAAGTCACACTGCCTCATCCAGGCCCCTCTGTGTATTGTGGTCCTAACTCTAATCTATTATAGTAGAGTAACATTAAGATAACACATGTTGATCCTGCCATGAAGGTCCATTGGCAAGCATTTCCTGTTATAGGGTGACACAGCTCTATCCTTGTTTCCCTTCCTGCGTTGTCACCCTATTACATCGGCTTCTGGTGGAAACAAGTGGCCCACTTAATGCACATTATTCATGGGGGGTCCGCTGTTGTCACCTTCGGGAAACCTGTCCAGAGAAATGCCATGCAGCCATCATTGTAGTGCATGCATGTAGACAGGAAGTGGCTGCGACGAGACTGCATGAAATCGGCAGCACTGAGATACAACAAACAATGAAAAAAATGATAAGTTTTTTTAATTATAAAAAGTCAGGGTTTTTTTTATAAGTAGTGATTCAGCAAAGTTTTCTGTGAAGAGCATGGTGCCATTTATCCAATATTGGATTAAGCAAGGTACTTTCAGAAACTGATACCAATGGTTGTCATCCCAGAACTCTGCCAAAGCAAGACACTCCTAAAAGCTATGATATAGGCTCTTTTACTGCCTTTAGAGGACCAATTGAGGTGACCTAGGAGTCATGTTATATTCTTGCCAGAGCTAGTGAGTGCATGAGCTTAAATCAGATCTCTAACCAAATGATCTCCCCCTTCCTGCCCACCCCTCCCCCAAACACTCCTATGTACCTTGCCCATTTTAATGCTTACATGTGCTATGAAAGAATACTGCTTCTGTCTTCCAAGGCCACCAGTCACATGAGCAAGTGTCTAGACCAGTGATGGCGAACCTTTTTGAACCCGAGTTCCCAAACTTCGACGCAAAATCAATTTATTTATCTCAAAGTGCCAGCACTGAAACTAAGTTTAGTATTGTGAAAAACAATATTGTGCCGAGCTAATAATCATACATATCTAATAATTGAAACATATATAAATGAGTCACATATATGAGCCTTCAAACAAATGAGGCATAAGAAATATCTACACAAATACAAAAAAGCAATATAGGCAAAAAAAGTCCCAAGGAAAAAACAAACGCAAACGATGGTGATTGTGCACAAAATTCCTCAGATGATTCGCAGCCAATGTGCATATAACTCTCAGGTAAGGATAATCACACAATGCAGGCCAGGTCACCTCCACCCAGTGAGTGATGATAACAAGTGAATGCTCACCTGGGGAGGTAGACCCACAGAACTAGGTCAAATGCACTTTTTCCCTTCTTAATGGGGGAGGGAAGCCCATGCACAGAAAAAGGCGATAAGGTCTCCTCAGATCACAGGTACCAGTATAAATCCAGGTGGAAAGAGAAAAAGGACAAGGACATAGTGCGTAACGTCCAATAAAATGCAATTTATTATATAAAACATGCATACTCACAAAGGTGTAAACAGTACAGGCATTGGGTATTGCTGGATCATACCAGCAGGACAAATGGCAGCAAAGTGATAAGAAAACTGTTCGTCCGGCTCAGCGTGGTGACATCAGGAGCTCTGCCCTACGTACGTTACGTCAAAACACGTGACTTCGTCAGGGGTCTCAAGTTTAGTATTGCAGTTTGGGCGCTCGGGTTTAAGAAACGTTCAACATCACTGCCTTACGGCCTTGTACGGCTCTCACGGGGGACCCGAACGTCCCGGATCGCCTCTGTAGTCGGGCCGGTCACAATCAGGCAGCGGCGGTGACCTCTAAACAGGGAGATTAGACGGCCGCTTGCAGGGGCCTCCCAGGGTCCTAGCGAGGAGGAAGCAGCCGTCTAACCTACCTGTTTATTGGCTGCCGCTGCCTAATTGTGACTGGCCCGGATCGCATACCAAGGCGATCCGGGTCAGTCGGATCTATTTCAATTGGTGGTCCCTGAACGCAGTGGTGTATTGGGGCTGCCCTAGGCAAGGCAAAACTCGGGCGCCCCCACCCCCACTAAATTTACCCCACCCCTTCCTGTTTAATACTTTTTGCGTGACCTGTCAGTCGCTGGATACAGTGCAAACACTGTATCCAGCTTTTGACATGTTCCGCTATTAGCATAGCAGGAAAGCTGTGGTCTCAGGGGGGCTTAGCAGGATTTGTGGTGAGCTCTGCGGGGTCTATGGTGGGCAGAGCCCACCACAGATCCTGCACAGGCCCAAGACCCTGCCAAGCCCCCCACAGATCCTGCACAGCCCCCTGGAGGCCCTGCAGTCTGCAGATCTGGCAAAGCCCCCGCAGAGACCCTGCAGTCTGCCAGATCTCAGGAGGGTTGTGCAGGATTTTTCAGGCTCCAAAGCCCCCCACAGATCCTGCACAGCCCCCCTGAGATCTGGCACAGCCCCCCACAGATCCTGCAGAGACCCCGCAGTCTGCCGGATCTCAGGGGGGCTTTGCAGGATCTGTGGGAGGTTTTGCAGGCTCCAAAGCCCCCTACAGATCCTGCACAGCCCCCCTGAGATCTGGCACAGCCCCCCACAGATCCTGCAGAGACCCCGCAGTCTCCCGGATCTCAGGGGGGCTTTGCAGGATCTGTGGGGGGTTTTGCAGGCTACTGGTCTAGACCTTTGGTCACCTAATCTCAGTTGAAGGAGAGGGTCAGTGTTTAAGGTGCTGGATGACCCGCTGTGCATTCATGTCTGACTCCTAAGCCCCTTCAGCTAAGATTGGTGTCCAAAGGGCCATCCATCCATCCATTCATTCATTCATTCATGTGCTTACTTCACTAGAAGCTACAAAGGACTGGAGCTTACAGGTACAGGGGTGTAGAAATTTTGGAAAAAACTACTTGTCCAAGGACTAAAGCGGGGGCCAAATCTACTTGTCCCTCATGACAATCTACTTGTCCTGATACAAAAAAAATTATGTTAACCAAATCGTATTTAGCAGTGCTAAGAAGCGCTTCTCATTGGTCAATGCCGTCAGGTGACCGCATTGACCAAGTGCTTGCAATTTGCGAGCGAAATTCAGAAAACATGGAACAGGTACAGATAGTACACCCGTACTGGTGGACGGGAAGGACTGGTCGCCGAAAGGTAAGTATAGTGAGAGGGAGATTTGTGCGGGTAATTCCTTTTTCCCAAATTACTTGGGAAAGTGAATATACCCTTTAGGGTTGGTGCAGACCTGCGGATTCCCGGGACGTGCGATCGTGTGCGGTTGCATGTATGGGGGTTACATCTGAGTGGCAATCGCTGAAAAAAAAGGTACATGTACCTATTTTCACGACATGCACCGCGCAGTGTTTTCAACCGTGATCGTGTGGGATCGCCCGGGCGGTATTGCAGCAGGAAAACGCGCAATCTGCCTGGGACGACTGGTGTGTCATTAGAAAATAATGGCACTGACAGTACGATCGGCGGTGGTGTGCGATTCCGTGACCACCCAGCCATCCACTCGGTTTCGTGCATGATGACCGGTCAGTCACAGATCGCACACCACTGCCGATCGCGCTGGCAGTGCCATTATTTTCTAATGACACCCCAGTCGTGCCAGGCAGATTGCAGGGTTTTCCGGGCGGTAGCACACGATCGCAGTTGAAAACACTGCGTGTTTATTCGCATGCAGATGGGGCAACGGGGCTGGTTTTCATTTTTTATTAAAGGAGAACTAAGTTTTTACTTTATCGCCTTTTTATTTTTTACATTTTTAACTATTTATTACTTTAACTTAACTGTAGTGCTATCACACAGTGATAGCTTTTGGAGGTGAGGATAGAGTTATTGGACTTCTGTTAGTCTTCTAGTTCTTACAGAATATTTTGTACGTTCTTGTACGGTACTAGAGCGTGTACATTTTATGGGGAAGTATTTTGAAGCGGTTAGGCTTTGAATCTGATTAAGTTGTGTTTAATTTGCAGGCACTTGTTCAAGAATTAGATCAGGAAAGAGAGCGGCGATGGAAAGCTGAACAGATTGTTGTAAAGTTAACAGAAAATATCAAAGAGTTGCAAAGTCAGGCTAAGGAGGAGAAAGACATAAACAGCATGGCTGTAAATGCCACTGATCGGTGAGGAAGCATGCATTATTTTATTTTTACATTATGAGACCCTCAGCTCATTTAGTCCAAAAAGCACTCGGGTTTATAGCCCTTCTGTGTTTTTTATAAGTATAACTTTACTTATTTCCCCCCTTTTAAATACATTTCTGTTTTTCAGCAGGCATGGGATTTGGTTTTTACATACCTTCCTATGTATCTTATTCTCTATAGAGAAAACATAGTGACCCAAGTGCATTAACTACCTCGCGGCCGGCCGTTGTGTATACACGGCCGGCCAAAGTTAAGTGAACAAAAAAAAAAAGGCAAAAAATTTAAAGTTTCCCCCCAAATTTTTGTAAAGTTACACATAAAAAAGAATTTAAAAAAAAACAAATTTTTTTTTAAAGTCCCCACCCCTACATACACGCATGTAAACATGCGTCAGGTGCGCATACCTGCGAAAACGACGGTTGCGCCCATTACGTCGCACATCTTACATATCGCCGCGAACGTTGGAATGACAGCAATAATTTTAGGGCCATTAATCACTGATGACACTAAACACCTGGGCTCCAAGCAGTTAAAGAGGAACTTTACCCATATCTTTAAAATAAGAACACCTTTAGAAATGTTCAGTAATGGCAATCTACAAACATACTTCTAGATCATTACCGGCTTTTTATTTTTTTCATACCTTATTTTTTTTTTCTTCCCCAGTCTTCTGTCAGTGGCCATTTTGACTAAGGGCAGGTTACTATATCTCTTTACTTTCTGCAACTCTGGCACATGTGATTAGGACATATGACCATGGACATCATCTCAGGGGAGGAAAATGCCTTTCCCTGAGATCTTGTGAGATTACAGATGATATTTCCCAGCAATGCTCTGCTGATGTAACCTTCCCAGGATGCAATGCTTGGGCACAATTACATAATTTGTGCCAAAATGGACCAGGAAGTGGGGAAAAAAATTGTAAGTAAAATAAAAATCTGTTTAGCTAATGAATGTAAGAAGATTTCATATCAGCATGCAGAGCTGTATGCTGATGTGATTTTTAGTCAAAGGTCCACATTAACTCTACAACCAATCCAGAATTTGTTTTGGTGCTGAGATAATAAACTTGTGCTGAAAAATATGTCACTGCCATTGCTTACCACTCCTATTGAAAATACTGGTTGCTATACTGATCCAATAAATGTATTATTGTCTCAGCCACTGACCTGAAACAAGTATGTAGATCAGGAGTATCTTTTTCATTGGAATGTCTGTACAGTAAATTCAAAAGTATTAAAGCCAAAGACAGCAGGTAACTAGTATTTATAGAAGAAGAAATCTGATATAGTTACATAGTTAGTCAGGTTGAAAAAAGACACATGTCCATCGAGTTCAACCTATAGAGATTAAAAAAAAAAAAAGCCTAAACCGAACGCTATGCCCCCAATTACCCGCTGTTGATCCAGAGGACAGTTAAATTACTGCTATATCCAAATAGATATGACGCAGTACCAGATATTACCCATGACTGGACTGGTTATGGAGAGTAATGGCCATGTTGCGGGATTTTATGAAAAAAAAAAAATGATTGTGATATTATATGATACTCAGCATTTTAGCAAACGAAATGTCACCCAGTTAGGGTTTAGATCTACTTTAACCCTATCGTGACCGGTGCGACATGGTACGTCATTGGCAGCGCGCCCATTTAAACAGATAAACGACTGTTGGCGTAACAATAGAAGCGATTCCGGGGGCTCAGCTGCAGCCAGATTGCTTCTACTGTCAGTAAAGAAACCCCCCGACACCCCCGCCGTGTTTGCCGTTCTCCGCTGCCCCACTCTTGGGTGTCAGCAGGAAGCTGGGGAGGAGAGCGCCGAACTTCCGTTCACCGATCTCCCCACTTTATTGCATCACTTCCGGTCCCTGAGCTGTCATTGCTCTGTTCCTGAAGCCGAGCAATAAGCTATTGAAGTGCACTCTGCACTTTGATAGCTTATTTAAAGTGGAAAGGTTATACTAGGGGTCTTTTGTACCCCTAGTGTCACCTTAAAGAGGACCTGTCATCATCAATATGCTATCACATAGGGGGCTTGTAAGCCCCCTATGTAATGGCAATTAAAGTATAACAAAAAAAAATATAGAATAAAATAAATGTAAAAATGATTTTAAAATATGTTAAGGTCCCCCGCATTTATGCAAACATGTATCGGGTGCACCTATGTACGAAAACCTTGATCACGCTACACATATTGGGTACTGCTGTGCACGCCAGAGTGGGAGCAATAATTCTATTTACGTGCAGCTCTAAAATGATGAGCTGTAGGGGCTTTTTGGGGTACTGAAAATGTGTTGTCGTTTCACGGACCCACACAATTTTTCCCTGGGCATGTTGAGTATCTATTTACTCGTCATCACCTCATCTTTTATATTTGACAAAAAAAACGGCATTTTATTGTGTTTTGGGGCACTAAAATTAACTTTTTGGGTTTGATAAAGAGTGGCGCCAATATTGTGCAAAAATTTGCAACTGCCACCATTTTTTCCTACAGGGTATTGGCTTTCAGAAAATAATGTTTTGGAGGTTTTAAATAATTTTCAGGCCTAAAATGTGGATTACATCATGTGTGCGGGAAAAAAAGGCCTTGGCAGCTAGAGGGTCCTGATGGGGTTAAATAAAGGTCATTTTATCAATTACTGGAATCGTGTTAAACCAATGCCATTGCTAAGAATTTTATGTGAACCTTATTTTTGTAGGATTAAAGAATTACTTCTGAAGGAAAAAAATGCAAAATGTACATTGCAAGCACTTGTGCACCAGTTAAAGGAAGAAAACGAGAGGCTTACCGATAAAATAAAACAGTCTGCTGGTAAAGAAGAAGAATATCAGAAAGCACTTAGAATGATGGAAGATGCAATGTCCAAATTAGAAACACAGAAACTCCAGCAGGAAGCCCTGCAGGTACAGGATATTCCTATAGAATTTGTGACCTCATTTCCTGGTATAGACTGGACATTAAACAACAATCACTTCTTTCATTGTCCTCTGACTTGGGAGTTTATTTCTTAAAGTGTAACTGCCCTTGTCTGTATGTTATAACTAATTCACCTTTGTGAAACAAGCGTGTAGAAGGCATGGCCTATGCTCTTTTTATGGTGTAAAGATCCCAGTTTTCCTCACTCCATGCTGCTAATTGATGGTGGCACTCAATGAAACGTTAAAGCTGAAGTCCAGCCTTCACTTCAGTCTTGTTCTGTTGTACCGGCTCCTCTCCTGCACTGAAATTGCTTACTCTGATTTCACTGCACACTGTGAGCTTCTCACTGTGTACATTTAGAAGCTGCAGCAAGTCAGATAGAGCCCATCTAATTTCCTTGAGGACATCCAGCATCATCTAGTCTCGCCTTTCTCAACCAGGGTTCACTAAACCCATAGGCTTCCTTTGGAGGTTGCTAGGGGTTCTTTAAGTGTGGGTGATTCCCCATTTGATGGTGCCTGCATAGTTTTGGTTCTAATGCCACTTGGCAGAACCATTAGTATGACACCAATGATCTTTTTGGGGGGGGGCATTCTTCTCACTGTGCTTGCTGGCACTTCCTGTCCCACGGTGTCTGCATGCGGGTGCACGCTGTCCATAGACTTACCTTGTGTCTCTCCTCGTCTCCCGGCCGAAAATCTGAACTGCGCATGCGCCCGCCCCAAGATCCTTTGCGGCTGCCCGAGATTTTCGGATGGGAGCGCACGGCGAAGACACAGGTAAGTTTTTAAACCTCTTTTAAAGCTGTTTTTGTTTTTTTTTTTTACGTTTTTGCATATATTTACTGCTTGCTAGCAGTAGATATAATATATGCCAAAAAAAAACGGAGGGTTTAATAACCCTTTAAGTAGTGATAAGGAATGACCTATATTGTGTTGGTGTTATATGGAACACCAGGCTTTTTTTGGCCTTGTTTGGATGGGCTGCAGTCTCCACCACCTTCTGAAAAGTGATCTGTGGTGAATCGCTTTTCGGAAGGCGGCGGAGCAGTAGCTGCCCGGCATTCAGGAGGCGTTACTGCCACCTTCTTAATGCAGATTTTGGGGGTTTTTTTCCAATGGGATTTCTTTGTGAAGGTGGGCACGTGGTTGCAGCCACATTCTGTTCATTTCAGTTTTTGTGTTTGACAAGTGGCACCGCCTCTCACACACCATGATGTATATATTTTTTGCTGCAGTGCAAAGCATAACTGCCGTTGCAATGTATACAGCACTGTGCGGCCACAGTGCTACCATTACAGCAGGCAGCTGCAGGCTGGTAAAACTGCACATGAACCACTTTAACTGATAAAAGCGTTTCTTGATTTTAAAAAAATGTGTAGGCATTCATTTACATTTTTTTTTCTTCTGCCTATTGTTTGGTTGTGTGGACAGACATTGGTAACAGTGTGGGTAGCATTGTTATTATTTTGCACCGTATATAAATAAAAATAATTCCTTTGAACACAGATGAAACACACGCAGGAAGCAGACCGCAAGGTAACCGCCTCCCAGAGAGAAATTGAGTTGCTTCGAGGATCTATGCGTCAGCACAAAGACAAAGTCCAACAGCTCCATGAACTGCTTACATCAAGGGAGCAGGCACACAGGTACTTCTGATTGTCACCAGCTCCCCAGAATCTTATAAATACCCAGACATCAGGCACAGTGCTAACATTGAGCATTCTCATCAGTTTAATCTCTTGCTGGGAGAACCGTGTTCAGAAGCTGGATGTAGACTGCTGCCACCTTTAGGAGGCCTGAAAATCTGCCTGGATATTATCTTTTCATTTAAATGTATTTCCAAATGAAATAAACATTCTAAAGGATGTATATGGATAAGTAGGTTCCCAGCTATTGTATTTAGCTGCAGAGATCATAGGCCCCTATGAAGTTGTTCTCAACGGTTGAATTACATGTTTCAACAAAAATGGTTTTATTATATTGCCTCAGTAACTGATCTGACATTTATGCTTTTTTGGAAGTGATTCCACTTGTCATTTGCCATTCAGAGAGATTAAAGTATACAGTATCTCTAGCTAAAACTTTGTCAGGTTTTTACTGCTATCTGGTACTCCCTTCAGGTATTTCCCCTTATGACTTACCAAGGTTGTCACCAGGACAGAAAGTGAAGTGAGGATATCAACAAAACCACTTTCTTTGTAGAGCAAGGGAATGCTAGAATCCCTGTCATCTTTCCCTCACTTCCCAGCTGTTGATAACATTGTCACCAGGACAGGGAGTGAGGGAAGATCTCTCCAATGATGTCTTTGCCATCAATAAAAATCTGACAGAGGTTCTAAAGCTGGCTATACACTATGAATTTCGGCCAGTTTTTGATGAACCCGTCAAATTCGTTCAGTAGGTGGCCCTGTCACCACCGTTCCATCCGTCATGCTTTAATCAGAAAATTGAAGAAGCCAGATGGAAATTTTTCTGGTGAACAGTGATGGCAGTCAATCAGCTGCTGTCTCCTTGGGTTTTCTGACGGCAGCACGTCTGCCGCTGTCGGAATGCAATAGCCCAGCAGGAGATTCATCCATACACGCTGTTTTAGCATTGATGAATGAATCTGTTATTTTCTTCTTTTTTTTTTTTTTTTTTTTTTTTTTTTTTTTTTTTTTTTTTTTTTTTTTTTTTAGTTCAGCGCACAGGTTGAACAAAAAAAAAAGTGTATGGCCAGCTTAAACCTTCCCAGCTCTATCCAAATCTAAAAACAAAAAGGTTACAACCGGAGTGCCCCCTCATACATTAAAAAAAAGCTCCTTTTTATAAGCTTTTCTAATGTTAGAAGTCTAATGACTGTGCTAATGCGAGGTACTTGTGATATAATCAGTGCATGCTGGTATATCCAGCCTGGGGGAAAAAGACTTTACATAGTTAATTGTAAAGGATTATAAATGCTTGACACAGAGGATCTGTAACTCGTCAATTTTGTAGACTTGTAGTCGCTGCACTTTTGTTTAATTGAAAGAGATGCAGCTGTCATCCCTTTAAGTACTAATTGGCATTTCTAGCTTAAGGTGAGTCTTGTATGCACTACACATATTTGTGCACTTTGCAGTGTAATGCTAAACAAATATGCTATAGAATTTATTTGTTCAAAGTATATGTGTCAGTATTAAAAAAAAAATGGGCTCAACTGACTCGGGACTGAAATGCAAGCACCTAGAGAGCTTTCTGCACATACTACTTCTCACGCACCCCTGGGATCCCAAATCTCAACTCTGTAACATGGAAATTCAGAAACTTCCTGTCAGTCATGAAAATGTTCTAAACATAAAATAAACTCCAACCACCTTTAGGTATATCTTTTATAGAGCTGCAGCTAACGATTATTTTCAAAATCGATTAGTTGGACGATTATTAAGTTCGATTAATCGGTTAATCGGATAAAAAAAATTAAATACATTTTAAAAAATGGCTCCAGTGATGGACTACTAGTTTGTATTGAGATTGTAGTCCATCACAGGAACAAGCTTGGAGCGGTGGAAGTAAAGAAAAGGAAAAAAAAAGTGTGGTGTGCAATATAGTGAAATGAAAAGTGTAAAATTATACAGCAATTAATGTAGAATGGCACCGCCTATTAAGGACTACAAAACCCAGCAATAGTACATTATACAGCACAATGCAGAATACCACCAGCTATAGAAGAGTACAACAAATCCCAGCAATAGTACATTATAGCTGGTAGTATTCTGCATGGTGCTGTATAATGTACTATTGCTGGGTGTTGTAGTCCTCTATAGCTAGTGGTATTCTGCATTGCGCTGTATAATGTATTATTGCTGGGATTTGTTGTACTCGTCTATAGAACATGTCTTGCCAAGTAATGCAGGAGCCTCAAAGCCTAGGAGTTCCAAAATGTAGATTTTGACATTTCCTAACATTGTTAAGGTCTGGCCTGCCATTCCTTTTCCTTACACAGCTTCCTATTACATCATAATGATATGTCAGTGGGGTCGGGCCAGCTTGTGGCACTGCTAGGAAATGTCAAAATGTGCATAGTTAAGCCCCCAGACTTTAGGGCACTTATCAAGACTTCCTATTACATCATAATGATATGTCAAGGAGGTTGGGCCAGCTCCTGGCGCTGCTAAGAAATGTCAAAATTTGCATATGCAAGCCCCCCAGGCTTTGGGGCACTTAACAAAACATGTAAAGATGTAAGATAATGTCTGCATTACATTCCTATTTAGAACATTTACCATTGGTATGAAATGGCATGCTGGTGCCTCTGTCTGTCCAACCCTCCTGCTGAATACCCTGGGAGCCCAAAACCTGGGATATTTTAATATGTATTTATCAGCCAGCTCCAAGGGTTAAACTGCTAGGCCAACCTATTCATTCTCCCCCACCTCCAGGCTTCACTTTTGCCCCTCCCTTCCAGGATACAATTCGTATTACGCCCCGTGCCGGCCTGTGTGTAGAGCGGATTAGCCGTTCCGGTCCGTGCTGTAAGTGGCAGGCTATGAAGGCGGTACACTGGGACTGTTATTGCTGTTTAAAGTATTGCTGGGATGTGTAGCCCTCTATAGCCTATGCCATCCTGCTTTGCTGTAAATAGGGATACACCTATACCGCACAGCTCCTCCTCCTTCCCAGCGCCCACACAGCCATGGTTAGACCAAGCCGCCCGCACCCTCCGCAAAGCCATGTTGTGATCCTGCCGCCCACACAGCACTGGGAAGACCCGCTCATGCATCGCTGGTGAGACCCGCACGCAGCCCTGGATCACGCCGCTGAAATCTGCCCACTGCGTCACGCCGCTGCCTTCTGCGCCACACCGCTGACATCTGCACTCTGCATCACGCCTCTGCACTCTGCGTCACAACTGGCCTCTGCACAAGGGGGCCACATAATCTTATATTGCCCAGGGGGGCCCTTGTGTTGTCAGTCCGCCCCTGATTGTAATATCCCCTTCGCACACCGTGCCAATGTACTCAAATCCAGCGGGTGCTGGAACAACTGGTGGATGACGCCACAATGTACAATCTAGAAGATATGTTGTCCGCACACCATTCTGCTCCGGAATGTCCTTTTTATTCGTATTCTTTTACCACGACATGTGAATGCAACGTTTCGGAGCCTCGCAGGACCCCTGAATAAAAAGGACATTCCGGAGCAGAATGGTGTCCGAACAACATATCTTCTACAATGCATGAATGGCAGCCCACATTTTTCTTTCATGACCGATTCCTATTAAATTGTAAGCGCTCACGGGGAGGGCCCTCCTTACCATCTGGTCTTGAATTGTATTGTAATTATAATGTCTTCCCTATATTGTAAATCGCTGCACAAACTGTTGCCTCTATATAAATCCTGTATAATAATAATAACTGAATTGATAGATTTATTTGAATCTCCTCTCCGCATTTGGCCTTGTTCGGTTTTAATTCACTACACTACTAAGTTATCACTGGTGACGTATGAATCTTCAAATTGTTGATGAAGATGGGATACTTAATAGCCAGTCTATAATGTCACCATTTGCGTCTTATTATGTACTGTATATAAGGTGTATGTGTTCCTTGCTTAGCTGTTCTTTGACAACTTGGAGCAAGAAAAGGTCATAAAGCTTAAAAAATTGTCACATAACTTGAAGTTATGTCAGCCATTTCATATCCAATATTAAAGTCACCTGAGGCTGAATTGTCCTGCCTTGTATGCATAGGCTGTACTGCACTTGTCAGTGTTCACTTTCACAGTGTTTGTGTCTGTCATTGTCAGAATGGAGCTGGAGGCAAGAGTGGCATTAAATGGGCCTGAATTCCAGGGAGCTGTGGCCAAGGAACTATCCAGAGAAGAGCAACATCATAACCAGCAGATGAAAGAGTACCAAGAGAAGATGGGCGTGCTGTCACAGCAGTATGCTGATCTAGAAGATGAATTCCGTGCTGCTCTGGTTATTGAAGCAGGAAGATTTAAAGAGGTACTGTGGTGTGTGAAATATAAGGACCTGACTGAAACAATGTTAACCTGCAAGTCTTGGTTAGCTCATTAACATAATCAGAATCCTGTAAGCTTAAAGTCCAGTCAGAAACCTTTATCTTTTACTTCTCTGATGCAGTCAGGCTGCTTAAATATTAAGGTATGTGTAGGTCTTTTTTTTTTACGTATTGGGGCTGAAGAGCTATACGAGACGTTGGAGATGCAGACCACTGCTCTCACACACAGCACAGCCATCTGGATCTCCAGCATTCTGACCCACTCCCTCCAGTGTTCCAATCAACAATGCTGCTCTTAGGTAATGTGATCATTGTGGATTGGAGCACTGTGCAGGATAGGCAGGGGGTGGGGGGGCAGACTGCTAGAGATCTGAACTGAGACATTATGTAAAAGAACAGTGATCTGGACCTCCAGCATGCTGCCAACAAAGGACCGTTTGATATACTGTAGATGTACAGCATTAACACATTATTTTTTTTTTTAATCCACTGTTGTTTTGAGCCAAAGAAGAAGAACAGTTGCATGTCAGACTAGCTAAGAAAATGTTTTATTCTGAATCGTTGAATTTATTTTTGGCATGTTAAATTCTCATATTTTTCTACAAAGCAACATAAGTAACAAATGTACCTTACAATTGGCTGCAGAAATGAAAGAGGAGGTGGAAAGTTGAAGTTAGTGACTCCTTCTGTCTGCCTATATCATACTACATCTACTTGTATTTCTGAGATCTGACCAGCTTTGTACACGAAGGAAGTGTAGGGGGTTGGTGTTGGGTAGCATGCACGGTTTACATTTGTGGTTTCATTTTTCAAAGTTTTTATTAAGACATGTCTATGTTGCCCCTTGTCACCAATAAGATTGTTCAATTTCTGTCAGACTTTGTACTGTTGGATCAGGGGTAGACAAGTTAATTTGGAAATCAGCCGGTCTGTCCTATCCGGTTGCCAACAGGATTTTTTAGGAGCAAACTCCTTTCACAATAATTAGAAAAAAAAACTCTCAAAAGTTAGGCACTAGCTATAGGTTTTCAGGACCATTGGCTACCTGAGTCCTGGGATTAGTTATAGAAGCATAGATGGTGTGCTGTAAAGGTGTCAATTGACATTAGAAGATCTACCAATCTGGCAATGCCTGGATTGGGTGATCATCTATTGTCGGTGAAGCAGTCTCCCAACAACCCTTGGGGATAATTGTTTGACCAGACAAGTCAGAAAACTTAGACTGATTGCTATCATTTTCTACTAGATAAGCAATTGTCGATAAGCTGCATGCTTTCATTAACCAGTAGCAAGTGACCAGTGTGCTCCATTTTAGGGGAGAGGATGGCCCAAAAGACAATGTAATATGGTTGTATCATGGACACACATGTGGCCATTCACTAGTGTCTGTGACAACTTTTTTTTATCCGGGTTTTGTGGCTCAGGATGTCACTGGTGGTTAGCTAATTGGCTGGCTAATAACCCTTTCCAAAAAGAGAAAGGAGTTCTGGGTAGGTGTCATTTTTACTGATGAGGCCCAGAAACCAAAACTGTACTGTCCACGGTGTCATGTGATGGCTCTCTGCTTTTAAAGTGTCCCTAAAGCCTAAGTTCTTTTTTGTTTCCCCTAATGCTGGTGTAAAGACTTTCCTTATGTGATGCCTCTTGATGTATACATTTTCCTCCTTTCACCTGTTACAAGTCGCCCCGTCGGCGCTGGTGATGCTGTCCAAAGCTTCGGTGTCTCCTTCTTACAGTGTCCCACAGAGACACCCCTGCATGCGCATTCCCATTGTGCGTTCACTGCCTCTCATTGCAAGCCGCTCCTTATCCCCCCTCCTGTGACCTCAAGTGCGCATGTGCCTCTGCCCACACTGTGTCCTCAATACATACCCTCTTCTACCTGGGGGATCGAGGAACTGTGCTGTGGCCAGGACTGTGCGGCAGGGAGACTTGGGCCACACTGCGGCCTTTATAAATTTTGGATCATGCTACACTGCTTGCTAGCAGGGAATTCAGGTAAAAACTGCTGAGTGCTTAGTACCACTTTAAGTGAACCTGTCCTTTGCCTATACCAGACAAAGTAACAATTGCACTGCATGAAGCAGGTATCAAGTGGAGTTTTGTTTTCTGCTATGTAATATTTTTGACTATTTCTATAATCCTTTGAAAGGAGAGCATTAAAAAAATCTATGTTTGTTTTTATTGGGTATTATTGCATTTATTTTTTAGATTTATGGTATGAAAACCAATATAATTTTTTATAGCAATGCAATACCTTACTGGAATTGTTTTAAACTTGGAGAGTGCCGTTGACCCCCTGTTAGTAATAGATTACAGTAGTCGGTGCTAGTCAGGTATACAGCATCTCACATTAAAGGATAAAGCAAACCTTGCCATGAACACACTGATTTACTCAGAGATAGAAACAGGCAATGCAGACTGACTGGTGAATGATATCACACGGCCAGTATAATTCATACAAGTGTCTGTCTTTGGTAATAACCGTTCTGCTTTTTCATTAACTTCGACATTATGTCAACCCCTCAAAAACATTCTTCACGGAAATGTGTGTATAGATCATAAAATGCAGCTAAGCATCAGCAGCGGAAATCACTTGCTCTGGACGGAGATTCTCTGGGGCATTCTGTAGCTTTATTGATATTGAAAGATTTAAGGGGAGATTATGGTTTTAATTGCAGTTCTTTACTAGTAATTGGAAAACTGAAGATATGTAGAGGCAAAATGCATTGAGAACACATCCTTGTGGCTACAACTAACAGAAAAAAGACAGCCGCTCCATTTGTTTAAAGGATATGTGTTGAGAGACATATGAAAGGTGCCGTTGTGACCTCCTCCTGAAAATCCCAGTTATCTAGCTGTCTCTGGCTTCAGTGCTTTCAGTCTCTGACCCAGAATACTCAGGCAGCCATTGAAGTCAGAAGTCCAGATTTGCTTTTTCCCTGCAAGTGATTCAAGCATCTTTTGCTGCAATACTTGTATTTAATCTGTATCAGCCCCCCCTGCAGTAATATGATGTCACCACTAGATGTCCTTAGTCTTCCAGCCTGCGTCATTCAACCCACTACCTCTGAGCCCAGGGACTACATCATTGCACAACCTTGGCTTAGAGAATTACTGCACTGCGAGCTATTCTTCAATCTGTGGTCTATGATGACCCCCAAATCCTGCTCCGTTTCCGACTTCCCTAGTGGCGCACCCATAAGTGTTTAGTCCATTTGCCTATTTTTAACTCCAAAGTGCATTACCTTGCATTTATCTACATTGAACTTCATCTGCCATACAGTTGCCCACTCCCCGAGTTTATCCAGGTCCTCCTGTAATGTTATAACATCTAAATCCGTGTCAATTACCCTCCCAATTTTCGTATCATCAGCAAACACTGAGACACGGCTACTTACTCCCTCCCCGATATCATTAATAGGTTAAAAAGCATGGGGCCCAGCACAGAACCCTGGGGCACGCCATTCATGACCTCAACCCAGTCTGAAAAGGTGCCGTTTAGCGATACTCTTTGTACACGTTCCTTTAGCCAGTTTTCTATCCACGTGCACACTGATTCATCTATGCCCATATCCCTTAGCTTGTATAACAAGCGTTTATGTGGCACCGTATCAAATGCTTTGGAAAAGTCCAGATAAATCACGTCCACCGGCCTCCCTCCATCCAGATCTCTACTTACCTCTTCGTAAAAGGTCAGCAGGTTGGTCTGGCAGAACGATCCTTCCTAAATCCATGCTGGTTATGAGTTATTATGCCCTGATCCCTGACGAATCCCACTAAGTAATCCTTAATAATTCCCTCTAACAGTTTACATACTATGCATGTCAGACTAACTGGTCTATAGTTCCCCGGTTGGCATTTTGATCCTTTTTTGAATATAGGTACCATATTAGCCCTTCGCAAGTCGCTTGGTACTCTGCCAGCCATTACGGATTCCTTAAAAATGAGGAACAATGGTTTTGTTATCTCCATGTGCAGCTCCTTGAGTACCTTGGGATGTAGATTATCAGGTCCTAATGCTTTATTTGCATTTAGTAGTTTAAGCCTATGTTGTATCCCAGTTTCAGTCAACCACTCAGGTGTATTTCCTGTTGAATTTTGTGTCTTATCCTGTACATTAAACCCGTCTGTTTCCTTGGTGAATACCGACGAGAAAAAAGTATTTAGCGCCCCGGCCCTCTCCCTGTCATTTGTGAGTAATGTACCATTTATGTCCTTTATTGGGCCTATCTGGTCCTTTCTCCCCTTTTTACTGTTTATGTTATGATAAAAAATGTTGATATAATGATATAAAATACACCCTTCTCCCCTGGAAGTGAAATGTTGATAATAATACAACCATGCATAGATAGTTTCCACTATTTGCACACTCCTATAATCCAGGGAAAGAAAGAGTGCTCAATATACAATCTAATATAACACTGACAGCAAATCTATATGTATATACATATCAAAATGTATTACCGCTTTCCTGTGTCACATACTAGAAAAGGAATTACCCCATAAAAACATCTAAAATTGCTAAACTGCAGGGCCTTGTATATAATTATAGTACTCCATATATTTGTCCATAAACTATCAAATTATATACACATAGTCCATATAAAGCAGCTCCAGTCAAAGCAGTTTAAAGTGCTGCAACCATAGTCTCTGTATCACCTTAAAAATATTAGATTACAAGCATACACCCTCAGCAAGCGGCTACATGGAATATTTGCTGCATAGCAATTCTAAATTTCAAATAATCCAGACGGACATATAGGGGGTGATTTACTAACCTAAACACACGCACGCACTAGGTGCGTGTGATTTTTACACAGCAAAACGTATTTATCAACCAAAAAGTCTCTAAAAGCATATTTCCACTAATGCCATATATGGAAAAATCATGCACATGATGCATATATAATGCTGCTTCACAGTTTAGACAAAAATGGTTAGCTCATGCATTTACATTCCTGCATTCATCAACGCAAGCAACACAACGTAGAGCTAATTTACACAACATCATCTTGCAATTCATGCTTGGCTTTGCACAACACACCTGCTGGGTGTGTACACATTACAAATGTGTCTAGATTCCACCAATAGATCATGCTGGGAGGGAACACACTACAGAGGTGTATACTTGTTCGTGGCGTGTTTATAAGGTTAGTAAATCAACCCCATAGTCTGGATTATATGCCTTTTTTTCTTTGTCTAGCATGCCCAGAGTCCTAGTTTTTAATATATTGACAACAAGCAAGAAGAAAATTAGAAGTAACCTGGGTTTCAGAATTCTTCCCGCATACTGTCTGTCTGTAGGACATCTATAAAACATGTGTCCACAAAGGGGGACAGACCTGTGGATGTTATATGTATTCTTTAGGTACAAGCCCAAATAAATATAATATGACCTGCAGTAGTTATTTGAAGGGTCATTTATGTGACTCCTTTTGTCCAACATGATGGAAGTCTTTATGCCAGATTTATTATGTTTTAACTTTTCCTGTCAATTCTTGTTCGTTGTGACCCGATTGTACTGTAACAATTGCCCATATAGCCTTCATATTAGCCAAAATAATTATTGTACCAGTGTGCTGGCTAAACCGTGCCTTCCTGCATATAGTTTGAATGCATGGACCAAAGCCTATAGTCCTCTAGTGGACACAAGTTTCAGTAATTGCTCACACTGCTTTCAAAGATGTAAATATTTGGACATTCCATGTGATGTTACCTGATTAATAATAATGATAAAAGTACATTGAAAGAATGTGTGAAAATGTGTGTTTTTTGGTGCCACAGGTGAAAGATGGCTTTGACAATGTCACAGCAGAGTTAGCAGAGCATAAGGAAGCTCTCTCCCGCATCCGAATGAAAGAGAAGCAGTCGGCAAGTTTAATCCGGGAGCTTACCACTATGGTGAAGGAACAGAAGACGAGGATTGCAGACACCACCAAAACAAAACAAGAAATCATCAAAGATCTAAAAGTATGTTTGGGTTTTACTGTAAACTGAAAATGATCCAGATATCAGGGAATGTGAAGCGTTAGATTGTCCAAGAATTGGTCTTGCCTTTGAATAATTGTACTAGAATTCCACTTTTTCTATCCAGTACTGAATTGTTCAGGGGTGCAAGAGGGGTGCCTCAGGAGCTGCATCCAGTGTGAGTGATCACTGATTCACTCCTCATCAGGCAAATAATTAGGGGATCCTTAAGACTCTTACCAATTCACAGAACCTGTCATTCTGGTCAGAGAGGGCTCCACCAATGAAGAAAGGAATCCTCGCCCTGATATGAATGACATAGTGAACAACCCCAAGATATTCTGCCATGTCTTTCTGTAGAGGAGCAGACAGAATTTGTGGATGTAAGGACATCTGGGGGGAGCGGGGCGACTACACCGAACCTTGCCAGCCAGATACCACATTAGAGCAAAATTCCAGACTGGAGGCAGAATCTACCAGTGAGAAACAATAGTGACAATCCACCTTTAAAGCTGAACTCCCAGCAGAAAGTCGTACGCACAGATGAAATACATATAAAATAGATGTATTACTTACCAGTGGATTTGTAATTTTGGCCGTCCAGTCCTGAGATACGCAACAGAATTACACAGCACCTTGGTGAATGACACCAGTTTCTATGTTACTGTCAAGGAATACAGTGGTGTCCTCTGTACACCGCCAACCTGTTGATTGATTGTACAGCGAAGAAGCAGACTGATGGTCATCCTGCTGCTCATATTTTTTCCTATCAGCATGCAGTTTCTTGCATGCAGCACACTGGCTTCCAGTGATGCCACTCCCTCTTCAAGACTGAGTGCTGCTGCACATTGGAATAGAAGAGACCCATTGCGTTTAAAGTATTAATGACTGAAAGTGAAATCCGGGTACTTACATTAGTTGTACTTATAAAAATAAATGTAACAATTAATTCATGAACACAGAGCTGCATTATTAAGTGCCTTTTATAACTGCTTTAATTATATACTGCATATTATCTCAGAAAAGCTAGTTTCTTTAATTTTTGGAAATAATCGTGTTTTATTGTGTCTGCAGAGTAAAATACGCAGCCTAGAGATGGTGGCAGAAGAAGATAAACAAAAAACTCTTCAAATTCAGCTTCTAAAACAAGAAAAATCCAAACTCATTTCACAGCTCACTGCCCAGGAGTCACTGATCGATGGATTAAAAGCTGAAAGGAAAATCTGGGGACAAGAACTTACCCAACAAGGTAAGATCATTACATTGATGTGTAGGACAGAATGCGCTGTTTCAGTGAGTTAGCTACAGTCTGTTTCTCTTAATTCCCTCAGATCTCCCCTGTGTTTTGCTCAACGCTCTACAGGGAGTTAATGCTGGGGAAAAAAATTGGTACTGGAACTGATAACCGATCATGCACGGCAGCTGTATGATGTACTCTGAATGATGTCATTCACACAGACCGGTCATATCTAATCTAAAAAGTGATCTTTTCATGGGGCATAATGGAGATATTGCAACTTATTATTTTTGTTTATTAAAGCGCTGATTGTGCAACACTCTATGCCCCCTCCCCTTTGCTCTGTATTGCAGGTGTCTCTCTGGCTCAGGATAGAGGAAGGCTTGAAGCTAAAATTGAAGTCTTTTCTACAGAGATAGAAGCTTTGAAAAAGCAAAATGAGCGTGACAATGATGCATTGAGGATTAAAACGAAAATGGTTGAGGATCAAACAGAGACCATTAGGAAGTTAAAAGAAGTGAGTAACGTTTCCAATGACTGCTACTGTACAGTCAAAATTTGATTCAGAAATAAACATTCCACAGCAGCAATACAGGAATGTTAGTTAGGCCTGGTTCACACCTGGGCGTTTTACAGCGTGTTCCTACGCGCTGTAAAACGCTCAACATGTGAAAACCAATAATTGCCTATGGGCATGGTTCCCACCTGGGCGTTTTACAGCGCATAGGAACACGCTGAAAAACGCCCTACGCCCAAAGAAGTGCAGTGCTTCTTTGGGGCGTATTTCAGCTCGTTTCCATTGGTATTCCCGAGTATGGATCAGGGTTAATAAAGCAGTAACCCCGAGTCACATTCGGGAATACAGCGTACAGGTCCTTGTCCGCGATTCCCTCTGGCCGCTTCCGGGTTCTGTCCCTTGCGAGCGGCCGCGTCGCAGGGGGGCGGAGCCGGTGGGAAGTTTGAAAGTTTTTTTGGTTTTTTTAAAATAGAGAAAATAAGGGGGGGGAAATAATACCGCCAGTGAAACGCACGTTTCACTGAATGGAAAAACATGCTAAAAAACGCGGGGAAAAAACGAGCTGAAAAAATACGCTCAGGTGTGAACCCAGCCTTACAAACATTTAAGGCCCGTTCACACTTTTGTGTTGCAGTAATGTGCATGCATGTTACCTGCATTTTTGCAATGTGATATTTATTTAGAATGGCATCCCAACATACCTTGCTGGACAGCATCTAGGTCTTACCGGGACCATGGAGTTAAAAATCCACTGCTTGCTGCAGGTATAAACTAGTATTGCATCTGCTATCCTTCTCTGGGATGTATTGTACTTGAAAGGCTGAAGTTAAGTATGCCAAACACTGTAAAATACACCAAGCAGGGAGACATTAATGTTCAAATGAACTCTTGGCGGTGCCAAACATTTAATATTGCTTCAGTGAGAGTTTCCACAGGAGACATTTCCATATAAAGCAGAAATCCCCTTTAAAGAATGGCTCTCCATACAGTTTATGTTTGAATACTTCTGTCTTTCTGACATCGTTAATTTATAAATCGTATATTGAATATGCAATTTATAGTAGGATGTATTGGTTCCTCAGTCATATTAGTGGTAGAAAACTACAGTGCTGGTATGTGGAGTGTTATCTGTCCTTTTTATTGTCAGGGTCTGCAAGAGAGGGATGAACGCATCAGAAAGCTGCATACACAAAATCTTGAGATGGAGAAAGCATTAAGAGAACAGAATGATGAAAGGGCAATACAATTACATGAGCTGAAAGAAAAGCTGGGAAGGCAAACGGAAAGAAAGGAGGAAATCAAGCTGCAGCTAGAAGAGAAGGAGGCTGAGCTGGAAGATGTGAAGAAAGCTTATAGGTGATTAAGCAGCCTCTGGAGCAGAGGTTTTAGTAAATGTAGCATGTGCTGTTTGATGCGAAATCTATGCTCATTTGAGATATTTGCTCTTTCTATTCATAGTGCAATGAATAAGAAGTGGCAGGATAAAGCAGAATTATTAAGCCAGCTTGAAACACAAGTCAGGCAGATGAAAGAGAATTTTGATGCCAAGGAGAAGCGGCTGGTTGAAGAGAGAAACAAAAGCCTTCAAAACCAGAAGTGAGTATAAAGCTATGCTGGGTTTAAACTTTGTAAAGGTTTGGTGAATCCCACTTTATAACGAAATGGTTAGTAGCTTGTTTTATGTGTAATGTCCGTCTATTATGCACACATCTCTGCTTTCCTATACAATTACTTCAACAAAGTATCACAGCTTGATACTTTTGTAGAGTATCATGATGCATTGTATATCTCCTGGACAAGCTCAATATTCTTGGGATAGCGTATATACACTATATTGCCAAAAGTATTGCCTTTACACGCACATGAACTTTAATGGCATCCCAGTCTTAGTTCGTAGGGTTCAATATTGAGTTGGCCCACCCTTTGCAGCATTAACTCTTCTGGGAAGGTGTCCACAAGGTTTAGGAATGTGTCTATGGGAATGTTTGACCATTCTTCCAGAAGCGCATTTGTGACGTCAGGTACTGATGTTGGACGAGAAGGCCGGGCTCGCAGTCTCCGCTCTAATTCATCCCAAAGGTGTTCTATCGGGCTGAGGTCAGAACTCTGTGCAGGCCAGTCAAGTTCATCCACCCCAAACTCCCCCATCCATGTCTTTATGGACCTTGCTTTGTGCACTGGTGCGCAGTCATGTTGGATCAGGAAGGGGCCATCCCCAAATTGTTCCCACAAAGTTGGGAGCATGAAATTGTCCAAAATATCTTGGTATGCTGATGCCTTAAGAGTTCCCTTCACTGGAACTAAGGGGACAAGCCCAACCCCTGAAAAACAACCCCACACCATAATCCCACCTCCGCCAAACTTTACACTTGGTACAATGCGGTCAGGCAAGTACTGTTCTCTTGGCACCTGCCAAACCCAGATACGTCCATCGAATTGCCAGACAGAGAAGCGTGATTCGTCACTCCAGAGAACACGTCTCCACTTCTCTAGAGTCCAGTGGCGGCATGCTTTACACCACTGCATCCAACACAAAAATAAAAGTGCCCCAGATCTACCACCAAATGCAAGTACATGTCCAACTCTTCTCTACGAGCAGGGCTCACAGAGCACACCACATCCCTGTACATACCGAAGGCCAAAACAAACTCGGATACAGACAACTTGTGGTTCAACCGAGGATCCCTGGCCTTCAGTATGACAGAAACATCACCGCAAGCGAAGGACTTATTGTCTGTGACGTTGTGCGTGGCTATGAGCAGTGATGCCAGGTTCACATCCTTGCCCTCGAGAATGTCCTTTTTAAGGTTAGCTGGCATGAAGTGCGCTGGTGTAATATTAGGGGGAGAAACCATCGCACCTGCGTGCACGTCCCCCCGAGTGCCGGATGTGCTAGGAATAACCCCATCCGTGCACGTTGGAGCCTGCACTGCTGCCGCCGGAACCGGGGTGACCAGCTTCTCCAGATGTTCAGTCCTCTGTTGCAACTCGTGCAACGAGGTGGTGATCACGTTTAACGCGGAGTGAATCTGCGTCAAAGACGTTGTCAGAGTCTGATCAGACATGCGCTCCGAACAGATGCTAGCGGTAGCCGGGGGAAACAACAGTTTGAATAATTCCGCCTTCCTCGCCGTGGCTGAGAAAGGAATGCCCCTCTTCTGCAGTTCCAAAACTAATTTCGTAATAGTCCATGCCCTAATAGACGGAGGACTACCCTGTGCAGAACCTCTGGCAGGCTTTGGGGGTAGAGATGCGAACTCCTCGCTTTCCAAAACATGCGACATGGCTGCCAGGTAGCACTGAAAAACAACAACAGTGATGACACTCTTGCAACCAGAGCGGAAAAATAGTGACAGTCTCAATGCGTGACAGTGAGTGCCCTACCCCCCGTGGTGGGGAACACTACTGGAAACGTGAACCGCTAGCTCGGTATTCGGCAACGTGCCGTATTGTAACTCAATGCAATGCCTGTGGCCCACCCCAGTGACAGGGCGACCCACCCCCACTAACTACTCGTCAGTATGTATCAAACGAACGTATGACTGAGCTTGAGGAACTAAATAATGCAATGACACAATATCCTCAGTGCCTCCGCTGTGTAAAACAATACATATATCAGTTAACGCACCTAACCGTGCGTCCATGTAAATGTATGGTGCTGAGCATGAAAAGATGTGGATGCCCTGAATGCTTCTACAGCCGTTTAGAGAAGTGCACGTGCAGTATGATGCGAACCCCCCCTCCCCCCCACAACCCACCTACAGTGCAGCAACCAACCCCACCCCTAAGCCCCCACTGACCGCAGGCGCTGAGAGCCACCACCCCAACCGTGACACAGTCAACGTGCAGCAGGTCCCGTCCCCCCAGCACACCCTGGAAATCCGTCAGCTCAACCCCATGTACCTGTAATCAGCTGCCATCAGGGATGAATGTTGGATGCCGGACGAATGCCTCCTGCCTGCAACACATGCAATAACACCTCCTGGTAACGACTATGGGAACCCAGCATGCAGCCCTGTCAGAGACACATGAAATGCCGGCCACATCAACCGGAAACAAGTGACGACAGCTGCCCCATCCCCAATGTCCCCCCCTCCCCCCCAGACACCTTGTCCCCTGCGTAGAGGTATGCGGCCCCCCACAGAGTCCCGCCCTCCTTTCAACCCTCTGCCCGCAGAGCTCCCACCTGAAGTGCAAATAAGTGCCCTCCTACCGTGCCGCTGTATAATGGCCCCTGCGAGGTGTGCGCGCCGATGCGCCGAGTACTGCCCGATGACAGCCGAGACCTGTGGAAAGAAGGACGTGGCTCAGTAAGAGCAGATGCCCCAGTGAAGTAAAGAAAGCAGCCGCCAGCGATACCTGACTCGTGTATCGTTCGAGTCGCACGGGAAGTGACGCCGAAGATGCGGACACCGGAAGTGACGTCAAGATTGCTCGGAAGACCTCCCGTCCCAAGCAGACTGATCGGCGCTGCTTAAGAGGGGTAAGGAGGCGCAGACTCCTTCCACAAATTCAGGCTAACATATTAGCCTTCCAACATATAAAAATAAAAGTGATAAAGTAAAAAAAAATGTTAAACCAACCCCGCCATCTGCATGCAAATTGCCGCCATTCCATTGTGTGCCATATTGTGGTAGCCAGGCAGCAGAACTCTCCTACACGCACAATGTGCATTAAAGGGTAAGTTCACTTTCCCAAGTAATATGGGAAAATTGAATTATCCGATCAAATCTGGCCCAATCTCTCCCAAACCCATCCCCCAGCTATACTTACCTTTCGGCGAACAGTCCTTACCCTCCGCCAGTACAGGTGTACTATCTGTACCCCGTACCGCAGTCCAGCCCTATGCATTTTGAATTTCGCTTGCACATTGCAAGCACTCATTGGTCAGCATGGTCAGGTGTCCACGCTGGCCAATGAGAAGCGCTATTTAGCACAGCCAAATACAGTTTTGATTAGGGATGCACCAATACAGAGTATTTGGGCAAGTACTTGTACTCGCCCAAATGCTCCAATACCTTCCCCAATACTGGAACTTCCGGTCAGCGGAAGATTTCCTCTGACCGGCAGTGCTGTAGGGGAACATGGAGCCAGCTTCCCTGGCAGCTGGTTAGCATGTAATTACCCACTGCCCAGCTTCCTGATTGCCCGGGAAGCCTGCTCCTGGAAAGCACCGATACTCAGTATCGGGGAGTACCAAAAGCAAAATATCAGTACTCGATACCCAAAAACTTATATCGGTGCATCCCTAGTTTTGATTAAAACTATTTTTTTTGTATTGGGACAAGTAGATTGTCATGAGGGACAAGTAGGTTCGGCCCCTGCTTTAGCCCTTGGACAAGTAGTTTTTTTTTTCCACACCCCTGCTGCCACTAGATTACGCTGATGAGCATTGGAATTTCCTGTCCTCGGCACACTCTAGTGGCAGTAGTGCCATGCTATTGATATGTTTTTAATAAACCCCTTAGCCACTTGCAAAAGAAATGTTGGCAAAGAGCATTTTATGCAGGCCTTGTACACACAGGCATCCAAATAGGATCTTTGCACGTAGCTAACTCATAAGTACTCTGAATCCCAGACAGGAAACCATATAGTTCAGTCCAAACAAGTACTCGGAAGTGCAACCCTTTGTGGGCCCTCTCAGTGGTAGAAGAGTGTGGAACAACTTGCTTTTCTGCATTAAGTACCTGAAAGATCTAGGCCTGAAAAACTGGATCACTAAGTACCCGTCTAGGGTTGTGGCACATACATAGTGTATCATATCAAATAGTTCCATAAAACTGTGTTAGGAGTTTGCTAAAAAAACAAAACAAAATAAGCTTGATTACTTCCAACTCTTTCATTCATACAAGTAACACATACAGACATAGATATGTAAGACACTTATGGGATGAGCGCCAGTGATCCTAGATCCTTCTGAATTTGTTAATTAATTACTGTGTAGAATGTAAATTAATAATTAGTTTCTCCTGAAGTTTCTTCATGGTCCCCACCAGACAGATGCACTCTCTGCAACGACACCATTATTAGTGGCTTCACCAGTAAAACTGTATTCTTAACCGATTCTGGATATCATGCTTTCTGTGTTACAGTATATGGGCGCTGTGTGGGTGATCTGTAGCATGACATATCCATGTACTTCCTTCTGGTGAAGCAGAACTGTAATTAAGGCATTGAAAATTCCCAGTCACCATTTATATTGGACTACTTTTAGATGGAACTTCATTGTATGATTAAAAAAAATATTATTGTGTTTACAGGACATTGCAATATACTGGTTAAGGGGTAGGACTGGAATCAATACATCTTGTGCACAAAAAAAACATACAAGTTTTTATAAGCGTTTTTTTCCTTATTTCTCATACCATTAATTTATTTATTACAGGTATTTATATAGCGCTGACAATTTACCCAGAGCGTTTACATGCTGCACATTTATGTCAGTCCTTGCCCTTGAGGAGCTTAACATCTAACACATACACATACATACAAGACAGGAGCAGTTTAACCTTCCAGCATGTCTTTGGAGTGTGGGAGGAAACACAAGCACAAGGAAAAAGAACATGCAAACCCTTGCAGATAGTGTCCTGACCAGGCCGATTCGCTGCTGGAAAGCACTGAAGCGCATCCCAGCCGGCATTCATGTCAATGGCACCGCAGGCACACCCCCCACCCGCAGTGCGATCACCTGCACTGGAACGTGAGGTACAGGAATGCCCACTGGACCGGAATGCAGGCATCGTTTTGCCATGTGTGTTCTGGTGCCAGCAATCACACTGCGGGTGGGGTGTGCGAGGCTGCGTTGCCATTGACTTCAATGCACCGCCACTGATCGCATGAACCCGGCCGGGGTGCGTTCCAGCAGCAAATCGTGCTGGAACGCACCTCAGCTGGTGTAAACCAGCCCTAAGTGTTTGTAAGGCCTGTGGTTTGTGTGTGTGTATGTGTATATATATATATATATATGATATATATATGTGTGTGTGTATAACTTTACTTTCTTGCATTTATCTGTGTAGTAAATCGTAGTAGTATAATAGTAGTATATGTTTGTCTGCATAGGGTTGTAATGGAAAAACTTCATTCTGTGGATGATGCATTCCGAAGACAACTGGAGTCTATCCTGGCTGCTCATCAAGCTGAACTTATTAAAGTAGCCAGTGAGAAACAGAAAGAAGTGGAATCAGCAAATGAAAGAGTAAGTTTCTACACATCTGGGTCCTGTAGTAAATCATGGTTCCTGTACTGTTCTCCACAGAGGTAAATGGATACATTTAGAATCTTTGATGACAATGGAAGCCACATTTCAGTGAACTATTTCCACTGATGAAGCGTGACGGGCCTGAAATAGTTTTATGCAGGTTGGATAAATTACTATTTTACTCAATGCCTTTGTTAAGTTGTGGTTCTGGGTGCACAGTTGTATACTGGTGAACACAAGATTGACTTCTATTCGTTTATTCCCAATCCTTAGGGCTGGATTCACATTTATTTGGCTTGCTTTGCAGTTTAATGTGCTTCATATCTTGCCTTGCCTATCCAAAGCCCTTATAACGCACATCAACAGATGAAAAAAAAGTGACCTTTTTATTGGCCTTTGCATGTCAAACTAGTACCATTGAAAACAATGGCAAACTTCTGCATTATGATGCGTAGGTGTGAATGGGCCCTAAATGGGTAGCAATTGTTTTTTTGATTTGTCATGATGAAATGTAAATACCTGAAGGTGCAGGCTTTCGAAAGCTCTTAGTTCCCTCTTCAGATATGGTTTTTCAAACAAATAACTGGAAAATTATACTTGTGTCCTTATAACTACGTCAAAGAAAGCAAGTGACTAAACCAACTGCAAAGCTAGGTAGTTGGGATGCACTGATACCGTTTTTTTGATAACATGTACAAGTACCGATATTTATCTTTTTGTATGAAACCATGACTGAAGTAGGAAATTGTTATCAAAAGCTTGCCACCTCAAAATAAACTCGGACAACAAAAGGTATTGCCAACATTTTTACTTTTTCACTCCTGTCTATGGCTAACACAGTTTATACTTCACTGCATGTAAATGCCTTCTATTGTAAAGTTAAAGTGACACTAAACTCAGGAATTAAATCTTAAACATTAATTCAAGTACGTTAACTTTTAACAATAATGTATCTTATTTGTGTATCACTCGGCTGTAGATCCTCAAATCATCTCTGAATTGGTGCTGACACTGTCCTTCCTTCTGGAGGGGGGGGGGGCTACCTTTGTTCCCCATGGTACCTGTGTGTGTTGTAAAGTAGTCACCGCTCCAAGCTCACTCCTGTGATGGACTACAATCTCAAGTACAAATTCATAAACTAAATGTGATATTGTAGTCTATCATGGGAGCGAGCTTGGAGCATTGGCTACTCTACAACACACACAGGGACCATGGGGAAAAAAAAGTATCCCCCCTCCAGAAGGAAGGACAGTGTCAGCACCAATTCAGAGATGATTTGAGGATCTACACCCGAGTGATACACAAATAAGATACATTTTTGTTAATAGTTCAGGTACATGAATGGATTTTAAAAATGTATCTCCTGAGTTTAGTGTCACTTTATTACTGTAATTTGCTGTGCAGGGGATGTCAGTAAGTAGGTTTCCTTCTGCTTATGTACTCTCATTTATATTGTAGTGATGCCAGCCATTTAAAACTAAGCGCTGAACAAGCTATGTCACATTGTTCACTTTGGATTTTAAGAAATAATCACCTGGGGACTGAAGATTGGCTTAGGGAAAGTTCCTAAATCACTGATAAAATTTATCATGCCTAAATCTAACACCCAAATATGTACCTGCTATGGAAGTTGTTTACTTACCTTCTGAGTTCAGTGAGTTGTACATTTTCTTTTTGGCTTTTGATGTATATATTTAATATATAGCCTCGTTTGCACTATTTTTCTTTTCTCAGGTTCTTTTATAGCAATTGATTTTGATATGTATTACTACAGAAGTAGCAAGCTGCTTAGCTCTTCTTGCATGCCTTTATTTATGTTGTGCACACATTTTGTATGTATCTGTAACTTCTGTAATTGCAGAACTGCTCCCCTGCTGAGAGCAGATCATCCTGGTAGTTCAAAGGGAGAACTCTGACAGCACATTAAAACTGTGAAACTTGGACTGAAGATTTCAAACTGAGATTCACACTGTTAAATATTTGGGCCTACAACATTTAAATGTTAAAACTATATGGAATTATGTTGGATTGAAAGGTAAAAGGACACTAATTGAATAGTTCTATGTACCAAACACACAACACCAAAGGTACCCCTTTAATGAATAAGGAGTGTGTTTGTGCTATTGCTTTGTCCTGTGTGCTGGCTCATCAAACGATCATGTGGTTTGGATTTGACAGTTTAGGAGATTAATTTTATAGAAAGAAACAATGCAGTGCTTGCAGTGAATTATATACACTCACCGGCCACTTTATTAGGTACACCTTGCTAGTACCGGGTTTGACCCTTTTTGCCTTCAGAACTGTCCTAATTCTTCGTGGCACAAGGTGTAGAGAGCTTGGTCCATATTTACATGATAGCATCAGGCAGTTGCTGCAGATTTGTCGGCTGCACACCCATGATGGGAATCTACCTTTCCACCATATCCCAAAGGTGCTCTTTTAGATTAAGATCCGGTGACTGTGGAGGCCATTGGAGTACAGAGAACTCATTGTCATGTTCAAGAAACCAGTTTGATATGATGTGAGTTTTGTGACATTGTGCAATATCCTGCTGGAAGTAGCCATCAGAAGATGGATACACAACTGCCGCTCACTAAATATTTTCTCCTTTTCGGACCATTCTCTGTAAACTCTAGAGATGGTTGTGCGTGAAAATCCCAGTAGATCAGCAGTTTTTGAAATATTCAGACCAGCCCGTCTGGCACCAACAACCATGTCACGTTCAAAGTCACTTAAATCCCCTTTCTTCCCCATTGTGATGCTCAGTTTGAACTTCAGCAAGTCGTCTACAGCACGTCTAGATGCCTAAATGCATTGAGTTGCTGCCATGTGATTGGCTGATTAGCTATTTGTGTTACCAAGCAATTGAGCAGGTGTACCTAATAAAGTGGCCGGTGAGTGTATAAGACATTAACACCCCATTCACACTTGCGATATAGTACAATCGCGCGACAAAAAAGGGTCCTGCACTAGCGACAGCAACGGGCGACATGGAACTGTAAATGGGAACAGCTCCATTGACATGCATTGGACTTAGTACACAGAGCGATATCGTGCGGAAATATGCGTGATAAACCGCTCAGTGTGAATGGGGCCTAAGACTTTTATAAATGTTTACAGAATTCCTCAGTGCATCCTAATATCCTTGTAAATTACATAGGTTGTATGTGACTACAAAATATTTGCTGGTCAGCATTGGATGTTAGCCTAGTGGTCAGGTGGTTTATGACCCTGGGCCTATAGATAAGAGATTCCAAGGTTAGTATCATTCACTTGATTGCCTTGTTTGAACGTCCTCTTTATTGTGATGCAGCTTTTCTGCTCTGTAATGTCTCCCTGACTAGTTTTTCCTTCAGATCTACTTCACAGGGAAGACAGGAAGACTTGCCAACAGTGAATGCTGTATCATGCAGCCTGACATTCTATCACGGGGTAACAGGGCTCTTTCCCAGGCAGATTTTGTTATTCTAGCTCCTTCAGTATACCACTGAATGGTTTAAAGGAAGGAAGAATGAAACAAGTAACATATATAAATACTCTGCCCTTCCTTATGCCCAGTTCCCCATCCCCATCCCCCTCCCCTCGCTTCCTAAGTCAGTACTGTTGGAAAGTCACTGTGGTATGCAGAATCATCAGCCCATAGTGCGGCTTAGGAGGCAGTTTTGATACTTGCATATCAGAGGGATTTAGGTAAGTTTTAGCAATATATTGTGTTTATATAGTCTCACAGGTTCACTTTAATATGCACATTACACTGGTATGTTGTAGTTTGCCCACAGACCTTGCAGTTTAGGCTTCTGTGTTCATTTCGGATCATGTACATTTCTGTTTGAAGTTTTTGCTTTGGTTTACAGCTCTGGTTGCCACCCAAAAGCCTGCTAGTAGCCCGTCCTCTATTCAAATTGGCCAAGGGAGTATGTCAGTTCTTATATAAGTATAAAGAGCACATTAGGTCTTAAGACCCTTTATGGATGAACTGATTTAAATGGTTCTGTGTTCTCTGCTACACAATCTGCTACATTATATAAATACAGGTGATAACAAAGAAATGAAACATGTTACTATGATATGACCATAAGACAAACAGGCTCACTAGTGTCCACTTTGTTATTGCAGGTTTACCAAGTAGAAGAAGAAATGCGGCAGCTTTTACAAGAAACGGCTAACAGTAAGAAAGCCATGGAGGAAAAGATAAAGCGGCTCACTAATGCACTAAGTGACATTCAGGACCATTTCTAACATTTCAGCAGAGTGACCGGAGATGTTATGCTGCTAAACAATTTCAAGTTGCATCTGTTTATAGGTGTGTTAGTAGTTTAAAGGATATCTGTATTAAGAGAGATATGCAGGCTGCCATTGTTGAGCTCTCCTTCTGAAAAGGCTCTTTTGCTTTTCTGTCATCCCCACAGGCTTTAAGGTCCTTTAAGTTCATACATCAGTAGTTCCAACTTTCCCTGCTGCATTCTTTTTCTGGGTCAGTGACTCGGAAAAGATTTAAACATCAACAACCAAGGAATTGGCATTTTGAAAAGATCAGCAATGGCAGCATGCATACAGTATTTCTCTCAGCTTAGCATTAACAGACATCCAACTCATTGTTGAGAGTTGTGACCGTCTGTACCATTTATATTTTATATATGTCTTTTTCATCCATTAAGGGGCACAGGAAGTCTTTCACCTTTCCCTTGACCACCAATCCTTGGGTCACCAGAACTAGTGTCCCCATTGGAAGATTTTCCATCTATTCTTGTTCTAGTGACAACCCCACATTTGGGAATTTCTTTTACTTTCAGTGTTAACGATCACCAGGACAAACAGAGAGTGAATGGCAGAACATTTCAAAGAACGTGCTAATAATGTAAAACAAACTGAAGTTAAGCACAATATTGCAGATACTGGGTCTGCCTGTTGAGAATGAAAAATGTGTTTTCAAGACCTCCATTGTTATTTAAATTAAAGATATTCACTTTCCCTGTCTAAGGAGTTTTACTTTCAGTACTGTGGATTTACTTTACCTGCAATTACTGTTAGAGAGCCATGTGATCAGGTGAATGCACAGAAATTACTCATGTGCCATAATATCTAGGTAAGGTGATTTGTTGCCAGAGTCAAGATCACTTATATGACATAAACCATAAAGGCCAGTTTTAACAGGAATATGAAGAACTGCTTCTCTCCCCCTGCAAGTCTATGATTGCAAAAGCAGCTTATAGAAGGTCAGCCACAGGTCATATGCATCTGTCAGTGCTCTGCATTTGCCAAGCAAGTGAACACTGGCCCTAAAGCTGATCCCCTGCCATCAAATTCATCTTCAAACTTCTGAAAGATTTGTTTATTTACTAACATATACTATTCTTCACAATAATAGTAATTGGCAGCATAAAAAAAATGGTGCGATGGGCAAAATGATAGTACAAAAACAGCCGAAAAGTCAGTGCATCCCCAGCTTCTCTTCTCCCCAATGGGCGCCGGTTACAAGCTTTGGTCTGTGTCCTCTCCGATCACCGCTGCCCTCCCCTGCCGGTGGCAGCAAAAATCGGAGGGGGCACAGAACTCATCCAGCTGCCGTTGTTCTATCAAAGTTTGTGACTATGTTTGAATGTGTGACCGGTGATGTGGTCACACATTTTAACGTAATCCCGCCCAGTTTTACAGAGGTGGAATGTGTGACCGGTCGCTTGGCCACACATTTTACCGTGATCCCGCCCAGTTTTTCGGCGGTGGAATGTGTGACTGCCAATAGGTGAAGCATTCCAATGCTTTGTCAGCTGTTCCAGGGCAGATCGGCATCGCAGATCGTATGTGTAGGAGAACCGATTTGCCCTGATGATTTGCAGCTGATCGGTCCTGAAATGTCACTGCTATCCGACTTTGTGAGTGCAATCTTACATTCCAGAAAATCAGATGATAGTGACATTTTAGGACCGATCAGCTGTTCCAGGGCAAATCGCTTCTTCTGCACATACCATCTGCGATGCCGATCTGCCCTGGAACAGCTGACAAAGCGTTGGAATTCTTGACCTACTGGCGGTCACACATTCCACCGCCGAAAAACTGGGCTGGATTACGTTTAAAATGTGTGACCAGTCACACATTCCAACGTAGTCACAAACTTTGATAGAACACCGGTGGGCAGGAGAGAAGCTGTCAGGAGGCCAAGCAGAGCGGAAATCTCTGGTGGGAAGGGGTGGAGCTTCAGGATCGGTAAATATGTTAAATATTTACCGATCCTTTATTGTACTGAGTAAACACAGAGTGATCAGTACTGATTGAGGACTCTTGTGTCCTCAAGCTATTTTTTTTTATTTTAAAAGGGAAATTTAACCCTAATATTTCCCCAAAGCCCCTAACAGTAAAGTAAAAAATAATTAACAAATAATATAAAATTTTTTAAAAAGGTTGAGGAAAAAAGTCAGTTTCGGGTTCAGCCTGACAAATTTTGAAGTTTCGGTCTAAAAATGTCATTCCGGTGCATTCCTACTGTGATGTATAAAGTTTATACAGTAAACTCCCCGTTACCCGGCATCCACGGGCATTGGCAGATTCCGGATAAATGTAGATTCTGGTTGCCTAAAAGTTACTATTAAAAATAGGTCTAACTAATGCCATGCCCCCATATTATACCATAACATAACAGGAACTTAATTGACTTCATAATAATATTGAAATGCAGTAATCAAAAACAAATGAAGACAAATAGGCACACGACGCGATAATATATGCTGCAGATCAGTGAGTACACGGGGGATTTAATTTTTCTTGTTAGATGAGAGTTCAGGTTAGTTGAATTGCGGCTAACAGAGAGTTTACTGTATATGTGTTGCAGAAGCCACTTCTAACAGGCATTCTCTCATAAGACAATATTCCATAAATACTGATAATATCCATTGGCACAGTCCATAGAGGAACATGATACTGAATTGCCCCCAGGTGATATTTTCAGACTCTCCTGACAAAATCATACCTACCATACCAATAGGCAATCCCTTTAAAAATACAGCAGGATTTAAAGACCTGCCAGTAATAATGCTGAATATAATGATTGCTATAGTCTGTGCAGTACTACTATGGTATAACTATTCTGGGAGTCACGAAACTTCAACTTGGACATGTACATTATACTGCAGTGTGAACTGAATTACCATAAAGTCAAAGTTTATTCTTCATCTCACAATGTAGCTAAAGAAGTCTACTAAAAGCCCCGGAGCCAAGCTTCCATTCATGTGCCACAATAGGTTAAGCTGGCCTTGGACATCACGCTGCTGATATAGAGTTGAGCATTTTCTATATTTCCTGTTCTGCATGATACAAGAGTCTGCTATTACCTGCAGAGATTTCATTTCAAAGCCTCCCGCAGCCTGCTGAGCCACTAATGAAGGAGCAGATTTGCTTCACACAGAACATCCACTTTAGTTAAGGAAAACTATTGTTGGGCATGTTCATTTGTTACCTTTATTTAAATTGAACTCCAAACAAATATAAAATAAACCTTTAGTTCATTTATCTATTAATTGAATCATTTATTTAAGGGTTAGTTCACACTGGAAACTGCATCACAACTACGTGCGTCTGCACAGTTGCATCGCGATCCGTTTTTGATGTGTTCAGATGCGTTTTATTCCCCCTGAATGATGCCACAATCAATTCTGGGTTTTGTATGCGTTCCGGTGCGTTTTGACGCGTTCCGGTGCAGTTAGATGCAGCTAAAATAGGACAAGCAGTACTTTTTCTGACTGCATCTGAACGGACTGCAATGGTGTGAATAAAGCGCGAGAAAGCCCATTGGAAAGCATTGTGATGTATTTTGGCTGCAGCAGTCAAACTGAACGGACTGCATCACAACTGCATATGGTGTGAACTGGCTCAACTTTGCAGGGTCCCCAATGGAGCGGATTTTGTCCACTTCCTGAGTCGGCCAAAATTCAGTGCGTGTACCCAGCTCTAGAACAAGCGTAGAAATACCTTGCCGCACTCATTACCAGGAAGCCCCAAATTAAATAAGGGGGGGGTGCTCGCGGCACCAAACAGTACAAAATAAACGGATGTCACCAGCACACCAATAGTGTTGAAGTCCAAAGTGTTCATTTATTGAACATCATGTCACCAGAACTAGTGCTTTCGGGGCCACTCAGGGTCCCCTTCATCAGGCTCAGCAATGACATGAGCTGAGCCTGATGAAGGGGACAATTACTGAGCCTGATGAAGGGGACAGTTGCTGAGCCTGATGAAGGGGACCTTGCGCTGCCCTGAAAGCGCTGGTTCTGGTGACATAAAAAAATAAAGTCACTGGCACTCCAAATGATCAAGTCAATAAGTTTATTGACCCAAGTGATAACACCTGTAGCAACGTTTCGGGACCTCAGGCAAACTCTCTGTTTGACTGAGGAAGGGGCCGCATGGTCCTGAAACGTTGCTAGAGGTGTTATCACTTGGGTCAATAAACTTATTGACTTGATCATTTGGAGTGCCAGTGACTTTATTATTTTTTTGTACGTTTTGACAGGGGCATCCGTTGTTGCTGCTGCACCCGCCCTGATACATTGGGCATTCTCCGGTCAGGAGTGCGATGGGATATATGGACTTTTGGTTCTGGTGACATGATGTTCAGTAAACAAACACTTTGGACTTCAACACTATTGGTGTGCTGGTGACATCCGTTTATTTTGTACCCAGCTCTAATCTCTCAGGGATGCATGCCCACCTATTGATTGGGGAGACAGCTTTTTCTCCATTGAGGCTTGCTGGCTTTCCCAGTTTCTATCATTTACACCAGTCCACAGCAGACTCTCAAACTGGTGGATTCTGTTTGGCTACATGTGGGGCTTGCCCCACCAGTGCAATCCCCTCCAGCCACAGAATTTTCCATCTCATTTTGCAGTGTTCACTATTGGGGGCCTCATATTGCAGATGTGATGCATACGACGTCTACAGCAACTTGCACAGTTCCAGCAGAAGGGTGCGCTGTCAGTTTAAGGGCTGTTCTCACTTTAACTCTCGCAGGTTACACACAACACCTGCTACACACAATGGGGGGGATTTATCAAAGCAATTGCGACAGTTTTAGCCTCTTAGATCATTTTTTTTTTAATGTGCAAATCTGTCTTATAACATGTGCCCCTGTTTTCACCTGAGCCTGCACTACTTTTCCAATTGCACATGTTTTGCACGTGTTTTCATCTGAACTTGTTCTGGGCTGTCTGAAACTGGAGCATCACCTAACAAAACAATCGCAATTTAAGAAGTCCCCATGACCACTTCTATAAGAAGCAACAGTTAAGCTTTTTGCCTGGAGTTACGAGTTACTTCTTTCCTGGAGTCTATTTAACCTCATTTATGAACAATGTTACACCAGTAACATAAAT